TGAGCGGCAGCTCGCCGCAATCATGGAGCAGGTTAGTTAGACCTCCACATTTGCAAGTTAGCACACAATCAATGTGGTAAATGTTCCTAGTTTCTCAGTGGTCTTTCTTATTTATCCTCAAAACGGATCAGGCATACGTCTCTGAAAAGTTCAAGTATCCTGATGAGCATCGAGGGACAAATTAAAATTGGTAATAAATCAACGACATTTAATTTCCTTCGTGTCGAGAGATCACTGACGCTTCTTAGCACGTATAGACTGCTGCCGTAGACGACCTCCGGATGAATCATCAAGAGCTGACCTGACCTCTGTCGCTAACGTGACTATGGAATTGATGCAGGGCTATGTAAAAGACGAGGGCGTAGTGGGCGTGGACAGCCTCAATCGCTCGTCTTCCGGTTCCACTGCACTGGACTTCTTATCAACTACTACTTCTGCCAATTCAGTGGATGAGCTCAGGAAGGTATGTGCAGCGAAGCTTTCATTTAGGATGCAGGCTGATGTTGAATAGCACCCTCTTATCACGAAGACGAGTCCGTCTATGAAAGAGTTAATGTGGCTAGCATGGTTTGCGCTCTATTCCGCACGCACTTTCTGGTCCTATAGTCCTTCGTTGGATGAGGTTGAATAATTGTACTCGGGATTTGCGGGGCTGTTGAGGTTAGTTCAGTGCTGGAGGCCAGGCACAGAAACGCAGAATCGGTACCAGGGTCGAGCCGCTTATGGTTTGTCTGTTTTCTTTCTTCTCCCCCCATAATATCCTTGATAATGAATTCTGTTGTTCTATTCAAAGTGAAAATAGAAAGAGAGGTCAGTCGATTGGAATATCCTGCGCTTCACCAAATCTGATACAACATGCTATCCTCTACTCGCTTAGAGATCCCAACTTCCCAATTATCGAGCTATATCTGTATGACAATAACCTCAATTCATTTATTTAATGCATGTTCGTATAGCAAGGACATACGTTGAGTACTCCCGTTCACTTGCACTACAGAAGGCGATGTCTAAATGGATGATCTGGGACGTCCCCAAGGCTTCAGTTGATACCATTTTTTTGATAGAACCAGAATTAATGAATGCAGTCAATTGTGTTCACAAAAGTAGTGCGTGCCTAAAAACTGGTCACGCTTTACTGGTCTTGGAGAGATGACACAGTAACGCTACGAAGACCTGCTCTTTTTAATGAATGATGGTTTCTAAACCGCTTTACACATTGTCAGTGACAGATTTCAGTATTTAGTGAGACTTTCCTTGGAAAGTTATTGTGATTATATTTCCCGGTAATCTGTCATGATAAACACCAAAACATTGACATAAGGCGTTGTCGATATGAGCTGTAGAGGCGTACTATGCCTATAGGCCTCGCAGGACTTTTTGTTATACTCTGCTTTGTAGATATTATTGACCGCCTAGCTTTGGCTATTCTTTGCCCAGTATAACCCTCTATACTACGCAGGCTCTTTTTGTGTCTGCCATAGCCAATGGCTCTATATGGACATTAACCCTGAATAATAATAATACACTGCGCTCTGCGTAGCGTATATTCTGCTTGTATTGAATATTCTCCTGGTCAGTCTTCAAGAATCACGTCTTTCTAGGTATCATTTAGACTAAATATACAGATTCTGTTTTCTATTTTGTGAGGCATCGCATTGTACCATAAATACACCTAACTTATTCGGTATCTCATCAGAGCATCTACTATAGTAATGCAAGCATCATCATTCTATTACATGTGAAGACTCAAACCCCCTGTTTACTGACTTCATACTACTTCGGGAACCAGCATGCCTATTAACACATCCCAGATCTCTTGTGATTGAATAGTTCTCCCAAAGACCTTGGAAACAATGTAGTAATTTCCTATCGTGCATGAATAATTTCTAGGTACAAATCAATTATAATGACAGTGTGGTTGAAGCCTGAGGCCAGTAACTTTTTCTTTGCGTAAAGTGGCCCGCTAAAACGTATAGACTGAGCATAAACTCTTGCTTATTGGCTGGCAATTCTGCTCAAACCTGTACTAGTCAGCAATCTAGCGAGACGACAGTGTATATAATAGCTACTCGCGTCCTTCCTTTCCTCCAGTCGAAGAAATTCTGTTAAAGTTCATGATCTCTGGCCATACGAAATAATGGGTAAGCCTTCTATGATTTCCTTAGGATTATTTTACTGACAGCCAACTAGTTAATGAAGCTCTTGACGAGAGGTCTAGTCCTTCTGAGGACACCAAGATGTCTCCAAGAAGCGAGAGCGGATCATTCCAACCTGCAACAGTAAACACCATCGATTATTCCCCTGAGCACAGCGACCTGGAAGATCTGTATAGCAGATTGCATATAGGGGATGAAAGGTCTCACACCGTTAGGGAACCGGGACGAAACGAGGTCATTCTTAGAGAAAGTTTTTGTGTAGGCAAGTACGATGCCCTACCGGAGACCGAAGCTCCCCTCGCCCACTACAAAAGAACACTAGGTATGTATAAGCAGGACATGCATTTGAGCAGATTTTTAATACCCACATCAGAGTTCACCGAAAGGAGAAATTCCATAGACTCCACAAACTCAGAAGCGACAACAATAAAGTGCAATTCCGATTCGGGGATGATCCCAGTGGACAAGACAGATACAGCTCAGCCATCATCTATTTTACATTCAGGGGGAGTAACGCGAACTATTTCATCCTTGGGTACAGCTTTGGCCATAAGAGAAGCTCCACGGATCTCTAAGCCGAAGACATACTCTTCAAAGCGTGAAAAATGGCGGAAGTTGTTGACTAAAATGAGAAACCAAATAGGTTGAAGCTATAGGATTAGATTATGTAGAATCTTTCATTCACACTTTAATCCAGGAACCGTCCGTACGGCTGTCATCTAAAGGTCTCGAAGCCGAAAAGGAAGAGCGATTGAAACTATATAACCGATGCTTAACTTAGACCATAGTCTGATTATATTAATGCATTATTTTATTAATGACCCAGGTTTACAGTGCGACCGCAGGAGAACGATGGCATATAATACAGAATAATACAATAGAATCAGTGCTGGACAAGTGCTACACAGTAGATGTGCACATAACGCATCTGGGCAATGTACTTAATCCAGAAGCTATTCGCAACGTCTATTCAACCCCCGGCATACGTTATATACGCGCAAAAGTTTGTGTTGTGCAGCAGCCAACCATGCCCGTCACTGCCACTTGGCTCTTCTTTTCCTTTTGCACCCGGTCGCCCTCGCTGAAAGTGAATTATATACCTGCATGTGATCTGATGAGTCTGGAAGGCCTTTCTTTTCCTACGGGCACCAGTGGTGAGAATTTGTTATCGAGGTCATGGTAGCACACAACTACTCTGCGATATTCAGATTTATATCCGAATATAAACCTGATCTTTTATCTGTCTACGGGCTCTGAGGCCAAGACCTTTTGTATGAATCCTGCTTTACCTGCGGTGGGGGTATGTGGACGTCCTTCTTGTGAACATATGTCATTATCAATCACCTTGCAGCCATTATAGCTGCGCCAACCCCCTGTGCTGTAGGATGTTGGATGGCTGAAGGCTCGTACTAGTGGGAGGTCTGGCAAATGGGATATCACCTGATGTGGCACGAAGTGCATCAGACTTTCCATGTAACTCTGGAAGCAAGTTACCAAAGCTCTCAACGGCTACCCAATGCACCATTAGCTGTTGTACCCTCGAATATTGCACGGTGATATCCAAATTACCTTGTACAGAAAAGTCATCCCACTTCGATGCTTCTGCAATGAATTACTCAGTGACTTGTATTTCTTTTCTGTATCCCCAGCTATTAACCATGGCCTGAGAAACCGATGAAAAATACCGCTCTTGATCGCCTGGTACACAGATTCCGATACCTTAATCGTATGTACTTGGGTACTGCAGTGATAGATACCATCACCATTGTTCTGAGGTCGGCTTGGATCCAGATGGCGTATGAGACTGATCTAACCAAGATCATGGTGTACGTTACACTTTTGGTTCGAGAAGGGACTGTTGATTGTGAGGAATGTGCTGAACTTTTCGCCCATGAAGCTGCTGAATAACTTCATTACCAGGTACTGTGTAAGGCTCTCCCCTCTACTCAGAACAGTGGGTACGTTTTACAGAGCACGATACTTGATAGCAATGACACAAACCGTTTCAGACGGAGGCCCTTTTGAAGACTAAAAAGGTCCATCTCGAGAAAGTCCCAAAATACGGTACAGTATCAGATAGAAGAGGTACTATTCCAAGGTGGGAGAGAAGAAAGACATGCGTATACAGAACGAAGGGTAGGGTAACTTGCATCCTTTCAGGGTAGACATACTCTACAATTAAGTACTATGCCCTCCGTAACTCAGTATGTTCAAAAATACTAGACAGTTGGCGCCTATTGATAGCGCCTACAGACAATTCACTACAGACAAGAAAAAGCAAAGAACAGATTCAAGCAATATCTCTATTTACCCATCAAAGAGGTCATATTCAACCGTGATCCATAGACATGAGATCACCTAGAAACATTTCCTACTAGGCACCTGAGACTTACCAAGGGAATTAGTTCTAATCACCATTTGTAGTGCATATTCATACATCCTTTCTTCTACGAGGTTTCCCATGGTGTATAAACCCGACTATGACAAAGCCCGTTGCAGTGATGTTCTTCCCGCACTTAGCCTGGCGGTTTAGCAAGTTTACAGGTTCTAGACCGGATGTGCTGGAGAGGCGATCGCGATGGTCTCTTGTGGTTTTCTTTTTCTTTCCCCCTTTGTTTTCACAAATGTTTAACCCTCCGCGATATGATGATATAGGGGTGAGAGCGTCTCGGAATATAAGTTGTACCTAGATAGAAAATCTTCATGCTTCGAGCCAACATTTATGCCTATAAAGACTAGATCACCTTCCGATTCTAGTCTAGGGTGAAACTCAAAAACCGCGTCCCTCAATGAAGGGGTTCAGATACGGCCCCCGCCTTTCAAGCCTCACCCGAAAGTCTTTTACGTCACAACCAGATGTTCTCCACAGGAACACAGCATGTCACGTCGCCAAGTGCTGAGTTATTAAACCAAGTCATCGTAAGGCTAAGGAATGCTTAGCTCAATACAAATTGTCGCATATTAACCACTCCTATCAGCTATATGCAAAGATGCTAACTGGGCACCTTGGTCGACCTCGTTCTCCTTCATACGTTTTAACTCTACCTTTTCGACAGAAACCATGGGAGAAAACAATCAATGGCCATGGCTACATCAAGTGCAGCCATTGTTATATTGGTCCAATAGGGCAATGGAAAGTGCTAACAACTTCCCTGAGCTGCTAGAGACATGTGGTATGATTTATCAATCAGGGAGCTCAAGCACTGCGACCTGCGCTTCCAATACCCCCACAGTAAGTTCAAAATAAGCCCTTCCTTTCCGTCCCTGTGCAACCTAAGGCAGGTGCTACCACTGTGTAAAGCATGCTGACAGTATTTGAAACACTAGAGCATAACCACATGCCATTCTTCACCGCAGCACAGCGACTTCGAAAAAGTTACCTACCCCGATAGTTTGCCTACGAAGCATGAAAAGAACTTAGAGACAATTTCGAACGAAAAACCTCACATAAAACAAGCGAAGCAAGTAGAACCACATAATCCAACTAGATCCTACAACGCCGACTTGAATTGTGGACTGGACGCTCCTGTTCTAAGTCAACAGCCAGGAAAACAGGAAACGCGACCATCACGAGATGGACTTGTACGACTTCGTCACCCACAAAAGATTGCGTCGAAAAGATTGGACCCAAACCTATCCGAAGTAGGAAAGAAGGCACATAACCGGAACGAAAAGCGGTATCGAGATAATATAAATGCTAAATTTGAGCAACTCGAAGATATAACTAAATCTTGCGTCATAAAGACCGAAGACCTGAACGGCATTGATGGGAATTCAAAGAAAGGCAGAAAGCCTAGTAGAAAGGCGTTGATTTTACAAAATGCCTGTAACTGCATTGCGGGACTCAAGGCTGATTTGCTACTGTTACGCAAGGAAGTGGATAAACATGGCATATCGGTATAAACTTAGCTTGAGGAAAATACTAAGCAGGAACAAATAAACACAATTACCAAATTACACAGCCTTAAGTAGGCTAGAAATATCTCAATCCGATCATAGAATGGAAGTAAACTCTTTGATAAAACTTGAAGAAAAGCGAAAAACTCATAATTCTCATTGGGAGCGCAACCTTTGTGATGACGTAGCGGCGGTTTCGCGTCGGTCGAAAGGGAAGATTTCAACATGCGTGAGTCGATAATCAAACGTCCGCCACGGAAGGCCGCATGCCTTGATCAGAGCAGGGTTAGGTCGAGATTTTATAAGAGCTTTCCGATAATAATGGATGGTCGGTAGACCGATGATGTCGCAGGAGCATGATAAGAGGGCCAGAGGAGTCTTGAATCTGCTGTAGCCGCCAGTTGTCGGGCCCTAGTCGTACGACCGTGGTCTCAGTACCTACCTGGCCAGGCACCCACGATCCAACGCATTGGGTGACACGTCAACAAGCTTTCGTCCCCTGTCTTACGGCTCAGTTCTTCTGCCTCTGAGCCTAAACCCCTGGTCCTATGTGCTTGTCTTTCTGACACTCTCAGTATTTAGACCCCTGGCCTTCGTCCGTTGTCGACGTAGGATCCCTGGCTAACCTCCAATGTAGCCTCAAAACCTTCTTGGCCTTGCGTCTGGTGATCTCAGCCCAAGGTATTTTAGGTTGTATGTAGTTCTGCCTGTATTTCATCTAAGCGATGCATAGAATGAAGTCACGGAGTTGTTATGTGTATGTGCTCTCTCTCTCTCTGTATGTCATTTCTCTGACCCCTCCTGAAGGATATGCACAGTATCCACACTATATACAACCGTCTATCTACCGCTGTGTACAGTAACCAACTACATACTGACTATTTTAGTTCCTCGTCAAGGCCTGTGGCGGCCTGATTGCCTTATGCAATGTCAGAAATGTGTTGTCGGCACCGATGGTATCTCGGTGATTAGATGAAGTGCTAGGTATGAAAGCAATCGTCATGATTGTTCGAGGAGTGACTTTGCACGAAAATCAAACAACAGGAGGTTTGAAACGACTGGGACCAATTCCACGAGTCGACGCCGATACCTCCATGATTCAATCGGGAGACCAACACCTGAATCATTCCAATAATGAGTCACATTGCTTGCATCCGATTTGAAAAGGTTAAGCTTGCTACTACATCCTCCGTGTCTTCACCTTCAAAAGCGTAATATGTCTTACGATTAAGATCAGTAAATTGAACTCAATATAGATTGAATTTTCCTCACCTGTCCTATATGTGAATGTAATAATCGGATCTGGTGTCCGACAATGATGTCAAGTAATTTGCCTGTCTCGATGTGCCAGATCTCAACCGAGTCCAACCCAAAGGCTAATATATATGGGTATGACACCGAAATAGACTTCGGTATGCCCTTCCAAATAACTCTCCAGTCTGGGCTTACATGCCATCCATTCCGGTTCACAAAAAATGAGAACTCGTCGTAGCCAAGAAGAAATTCGCCGTTAAGCCGTTCAACGTGTAAAGGTCGAAGATAGTCTTTCTGTGAAACGAACCTAAGGGAATTATCTGCCGGGTTAAGAAGAGGATAAATATCTGAGGTATGTAGATTGATGACCTGAAAACCATTCGTGCAGCCGATACACAGAGTTGACTTTAAAAAGTGCACAGACCAGCATTCTGTTGAAATCTGAAATGACTTTGAAATAATTTAGGACAGCGGTCGTGTCAAAACGAGGAAGTATTTACCTTATACAGTGCTAAAGGCTCTTCGTCCCTTCTATTGGAACTACCGGAAGAACTCGTCGGCTCAAAAAGCTTGACAGTGGTCGAGGATAGTGAAGTATTGACAGAGCATAGAAACTGCCGACCCATGGCACTCCCAATTTTGAAGAAGTTCACATTATCTTGAATTTTCCATGGCCTACAAACCACGTATTCTTCATGTTCAATAGCATTCGTGAGGACTCCAAGCGGATACGTATTTAGGGTTCCGTTGGATAGGACCATAAACAGGCGATGCTTTTCCAAAATGTCCAATTGGGTAACGCCGAAGGTTTGGAGAATTCGCCACGGCTCAATATTGTTATTGCTAGGTCTTTGATCGATCAAATAAATTCCACTGTACGTGCCAATCAATATGTGCTCACCCCCATCTGTAGAATGCATTAATCAACGGACCCAACGCAGACTTTGGAAGGATGTCATGTACTGATTGGTAATAGACAATTAACACGGTCGGTTGCTGTGAATACACCTTTGTACACAATGGACTTGCAGTTAAAGTCGTGATTGAGATCAGTGTCTTTTCCATGGTTTTCCTCTGTCATATTGGGAACTTTGCCTCTGAATCCTTCGCATTGGAAAGTCGGAGACTTAGGAAGACGACGTCTATCCTCATCACATAGTCAGACATCTTTTAGCTGACCCCGCAAACCCCCTTCTCCCAACTTCCCCAAGGCAAAAAGTGCGGTCAAATGTTACGCCATTGCGTCATCGAACACCAGTCATCTCCTGATTCGGTAAGACATGTTTAAGACATACTATTCGTGGCCTCATGTTAGACAGTGGATCACCCGCAATTTTCTGTTGGCCCGCAGATTTGTAGGCCATGTTTTCTTTCCAAATTCCTTCTGACCAGGCACACTCATTTTTAATTACAAATAGATTACATATTAAAACGTAGTGGATCCCTAATCACGCAATTTTCTGACTTCTCGTTGTGATCCATAGACCCTGGCCTTCGTCCGTTGTCATGGAGAAGGGATTGGTAACGCCCACGGTGGGGCCACGACCAAGGGGGTCTAGGTACGTGGTGAGAGTGAGGTCACGTGTTACCAAATGATGGCTGAGAAAGACGTCGTTCGACACCGAAAATGGCAGCCATTTGGTAAATCCGAATTGTTATGCAGAAGAATCGCCTAAGCAATTGAATCTATTACTAGATAGTTGTATGGCTGCGTAGCTCGCTTATGCGTAGGTCGTTACCGTTCATGTTATGGCTGTCTTTGAGGTAGGCAGACATACCCGCCATCCGGCCTGTTGGTTTGACTCAACAATAATTCCCATCCCTTGGAGTTGACCCCTGGCTGCTCAGAGGCGATGGGGCTTGGAGCTAGGCACTGACTCGTCAATCGTCTGGTGGGAAAAGATAACCCTCACTGATTTGCTAGATTATCAATTTTTAGCCCCGACGTTGATTGGGCGGTCGGGTTGTTTACCCTGCTCACGGTCTTTCCTAGTTTGGACCAAACAGATAAGACCCCGCCCTGGCAACCGAAAAACGTCCTTGGATGTAACCTTGGTTGCTCTCGCTGCTGTCAGAAGTTAAGAAAGGTATATGAAAGTCTGGATTTCGTTTAAAGGTAGAATAATGGAACAGAGGTGGATCGTTGTAATGCAGCACATTTACTGTTATCTGCCACGCAAGGATAATAGTGGTCCTAAAAGAGGAACAACTGAAGTTCGAGACAGCAGTGCGCTAGGTGGAAGAACCAGCGTTGCGTGTCTCAAGCCCAAAACATCCCAGCAACTACGTTTCAGATCTATGATAATGGCATGGCACCGAAGTCTGGGGGTTTTAGATGCAGCCTTTGCAGCAAGGCTTGCTGTCGAAGTACTCATCCCCCTTGCAGAGCATAGAACGTTGAGAGACGCAGAGACAACCCGGTATCTGTACACAGGCGACCTACGCGACCGACACCAACGACGGTGCATTAAGACCGCTGGCCAATCACGTCTACCGAAACGCAAATCCTGCAAGACATGTGCACAGAAAAAGGTCCGTTGCTCGATGGCTCGGCCCGCGTGCACCCGTTGCGTCCAAATGGGGATAGCATGCCACTATCCCGCGACTTCCTTGCTTCCTCGGATCGCTGACCCTCGAGGTATCTCTCCTGCTTCATCCAGCTTAGTCGCTTCGTCTAGAACGGGCCGAGCGAGACTAATCCCCAGCTCCGTGGATCAGAATGTTATGGACACCTCGGATACACCAAGGCACGATGTACCTCTTCCGGATACATATGACACTTATTCGCTGACCTTGACTGGTAAATAATGCAACACCACACACAGACATTTCGGTTCGATCACCGCCACGGGATGTAATCCATTTGGTGCTAACAATATGGACTCAATAATGCAGGCGATGGACGGGTCACTGTTTAGTTCTGGTAGTTTCCTGCGTTGGGGCGACGACTTCACGCCGCTGAATGATTCTATGTCTGCTGAAAATGCCTTCACTGGTGTCTTGGAGGAGTCAATCAACCAAGGATTGTCTTTCTTGCCTCTCAACGGGATCTCCAGGCCAGTAGGTCCGTTAGAAACTCGCTAGCCTGAAGCATTAACAGCAGGTGCCTACAACGCCCACTGTGCTTATAATTTGCCATTGCCTTCAGTCTCTTCCTCGGACAGCTATCATTGGGGTATTCATAGTCGTGGGGAAATCAAAGATCTTGCGGAAAGACTTCTCGGTGATATTTCCTGCAGCTGACACTGGACCATCGCTTTTTCCTAAAGATCGGTCTATCCGTTAGGCGAAATGTGTCCCTGTATACGAAATATGTGGCTTTCAACCCTTCATGCAGCACATTCCCTTACTGTTATCACAACGAACCCCTTCTCCATCTTGATGTCTCCGTATTCAAGTTAATCAAACCTGCGATACTCAGCTGAAAATTCAAAACTCTAGAGTATAGTAGACATTATATCTAAGAGAAATAATACTGCTAAAACATGTTTTCCGCAAATAGCGCAGGTGGGCTGGTTAGCGTGAATGGTGGGAAATATAATGCCAAAATCACACGGGCAGTTATAAGTTCAACGGCTGATTGAAAATACAGATACCCCAGGAAAAAGCTCTAATGCTCAACAAATACGAGAAAGAAGCAGAACCAAAGGAAGTCTCCCAGAGTAAAGTCCCATGAGAACGAGAGAAAGAGTATTAGTAGTAGTTAGGGAAGAGAGCCTGGAATTTGGCCATGAAATGCAGATAATTAACCAGGAATTCTTTAGGCATGGTCGTTTGGGCTCAATTTTAGGTAAGCGTCCCAATCCTTCTCAGTCCGACCATAATCTATCATTATTAATTCTGTTTTGTATGAAGACAGTCTACCAGGGCAAATCTGTGTTTGCCGCTTAATGAAAGTTGGCCTATAGTATAACTAGTAGTTATATTACTTCTAACTAGAACATCTAAAAACCTCTATGTGGTTGAGATATCAAAGTCCGAAAGAGTGCCATTTTATATGGGATACAAGAGGTGGCCGCTCGCTAGTGAAATAACGTTCTTAATGGATTGCTCGGGTGCCGATAAGGGGGAGAGGCGGCTGGCTCAGAAAAGAGTAGATCCACCATTATATGCCTGTTTCACGGCTGCATCAAATTGGAGCAGACCACTTTGTAGAGGGCTGCATTCTATTTAGGCCTCTCAGCTTCTAGGGCCAGTTCTGCATAATTTCGCCGTGGCCTTACGATGGAAAGACCCCGGATCCTACGGCAGACCAGATTGTATCACACAAGCTAAGAGCATTACTCCTCGGATAGCCGATTAACGAATCATCGACGCTGATGTATTTAGATCGGGATATGTCAGGACTGAAGGCTCCAATGAAGGGAGAACTTCGGGAAATGATCCAAAAGTTGCGTTACCTTTACGGAATAGATCTGCATCACCTGGCTTCAAGGCGCACAAAAGTCCAGCCGAGTACCTGGATATATACTATGCATGCTGATCGCCACTACAGGTGACACATATGCCCTGCGAGCAAACCAGATTAAACACTGTATTCTTATAGTATGTTGCGTTATACCAGGCCAGCAATTTCAAGAGAATGTGAAGCTTCTGCTTGAGCAACATTCATTCAAGGCATGACCTACCCAACATCAGGACTACTTGAGGGCGAACTACACTTTCAAGAACAGTGCGAATTGTAATGCGCCATTCCAAGTTTGGTTTCTGAAATATGTTTACCAACCCTTGCTTGGCAAGTGCCTGCCCAGGTCTGAACAGAAAAACTTGGGTACTCCCTATAAAACTGCGCGCGCTCCATTCGGGATATTTACAATGACAAAGATGTCAAGAAGTCTGGAAGGGACTCGGGCAGGATTCAAAGCAACACCTGCACAATCACAGCGACGAAATTTATCAAGGGCTTATTCTGCACGTCAAAAAAGAAAGAGCAAGGTGATTATGACTTTCAAGCATCCCGAAAGATATATAATCTTTGTTAATAATCAGCTGTGTGCAGTGTACTGGAGGTATACCGTGCATGAATTGTCGCAAGCACCAGACTGCGTGTTCGATAGACAAAGAGACCAACCAACGACGAAAGACCCACTTGAAGCGCAGATTGACGGAACTTGAAGAGATATCCCGACCTTTTGGATGGGCTACTTGAGATTCTCCGTGACGAGAACCGGATAGGAAGATCGGATCTTAACGGCCGCCTTAAAGGTAGCAGAATTTTAAATACTATCTATGAAAGCATCTGGAAGAAACCAAGTCTACGCAAAGTTACGAATGACACGAGGAGTCATACAGAATCACGATACTTTGACGACTTTCCAACAGACTATCATCAACCATCTGACGAAATTCGAAAGGTTTTCTCACCTGAAGACGGCAACAGAGCTGCTTCCGTCGATGAGTCTCGGAAAGGACCGCTTGAAAGTCCAAATGAAGGCGCCTCTACCCGGCAACCACCGTGCGTAATGTTGCTTATGGACATGGCCAACAATCGGATTTGGAATTCACTGTGCTCCTCCGGCCTTGGCCCACACTTACATAGACCGCAAGCTAAGTGTCATTGTCGCGGTATTGGATCTCCTATCCGGAACCAGGATAAAGGTAGCCACCATGGTGCTGCTTTCCCTCAGCCACAGTGCTTGGAGCCTCCTCTCTGCTTCCAGGAAAGAGGCCGGGATGTCGAACTGTTACGTAAACTTTCGGTCAATGTGTAGCACTTGGGATAATACTATGTTTGGTAACCGTTCCAGGGCAACAACCTTTCAATAGGAGCTTACAGTTCTTTCCCTGACACAGACTGAGACTATAGTATAGTGTACGTGGAACCTAGGCTACGATACATCGACTCCTAGGCGTTCGAGGGGAGCAGGGATAAAGAAACCAAAGTTTATTGCTCGTTTCATAGGCCTTGATTCATCCAGCGTTTCGCACATAAGTCTGTATGGATTTCTTAGTTAAGCGACTGGTGAATTATCAGTGCTAAGGTATTTAGCCCGACATTCATGGTATGCAATTGAGCGGGGGTGGAACTTTTGGGGTTTGGTCAAAGCCCTTGGTCTGAATAGCTTCGTTCGAGATGATAGACAGGAGCCTCGCGGACCGTTTGTCAGTAATGCAATACTACTATCATGTTGCGAGTAGTTTGAAGATTCATTCTACTCTACAAATTAACCCCTGTATAACCCTAGAAGGCGGAAAAGATGTGGCCACCTTCTGCGATATTCGATTGTAGGCGATTGTTGTAGCACAGATAATCCAGACACTCTTGTTTGTACTTTAATACCCTTATTTAGCAGACAGTCCCCCATACTATATTTTCTACTACAAAAATAGCGTAACCTTACCTGAACCACTGAACTAGCCGCTTAGCTTAGAAGGGCGATTTGCAACAGCTTTTATGTATGGTCTCCGGTTTACCGATGAAAAATCAATGTTCTGGTATATGTCTAGCCGGGCCCCATATGATCTATGGTCTGAATGTCAGTAATGGAGGATAGGCGGATGGAAAGGCGATCGTCGTGCTGGTGTATTATACGAATCCGAGCGCAGTGGCTGCTTTTTGTATCTTTTCAACGAAAAACAAGTTTGGCATAAATTCCGATCGCAAATTATACATTCTGGAAGATTTTCAATTTAAGCTCATACCAGTTGAGAAGGCAAATTCCCAAGGATTTTCAACCAAGCAGCTAAAAGCATACACAATGCCACCTGCGAAAGAGTCAACATTGTCTTGAGAAGCTCGCCCATGTGTTCATGCCGAGCTGCCCTTTCAGAGTCTTAGTGACTGGATAGTTCAAACATAGCAAAGATTATAGTATGGACGTAACTATAAGTGATGAAAAGGCCATTCGTTTAGGGTTTAAGACATTCCCGATCCCAACGTAGCATGGCGACCAGTGCTTTCAAGAGAGATGAAACCATCCTTACATACAGTCGTCCACTGGAGCAATTCAGAATTAGCTCCATTATGGACGCTCATTTGATATTGATTTGTATAAGCATTTTAGAATGGGCCACGATGGATGGAACCGTGATACCAATATTATCTGGACCAAAAATGTACTGGATCATGAAAAGGTCTAACCTGGTTTTATTTGTATCAGAGATTTTAGACTGGTATTGATTTCTATTATATGATGGGGACGATGGATTGGTCAGTGGTGAAATGGTTTACAGCAGAATGGGTACCTTGGTGGAAGGAGGGATATCGTTCTAGGGAGCTGCATAGTCATGCTTCCTGTCCCAGTGATATTATTTGGCTCCTATTCGGAGACCTATACAGACCGGTGGCGACCATCATAGCAGCATTACAATACTGACTTTATGTATTGAATGATTGACGTAAGAGGGGGGTCATCATCCACCCAGTATCCGGCTCGTATATCTGTGTCACGTAGAGAAGTGAAAATATATTCGTCGGAAAAGCCCTCGAGATCCTGACATACGGTTACCATAAACAAGTAGATGCAACAATAGCTTCGCTTTCTACATCATGAAGTACTCACGGTGCGTAACATGTCATCAGTCTGCCGTAATTTTAGAATGGATTCATTACATTCGGTATTACGCATGAGAAAAGTGCGGTGACTTATCCAGCGCGTGGCAGCCGAAAGCGCAAGTAGATCTTATATGATTGATGGCGACGAGTGCCAGCATCGAGTATGATCCTATTTAAACATTTACTCGGTGTCGCTTAATATCAAAACTGTCATACTTACTCTGTAAGCTGCTTATTGCGAACGTAGTCGTTGTCACAGCTGCTTGCTTCTGATGAATAACTGCTAGTCAACAAACTGTGGGCCGCTATAAGGCTCTCACCGAGCACTGCATAGCCCACTCCTTCCAAATTTCTCGACGGGACGCTTGTGGTGTAATTCAAAATATGAATCAGTAAAGTACGATAATCGTTCATTAGCTCGACGACCCTTAATGCTCGTACATGATCAAGTGACACCTTCACGGGCTGAGTGACGTGCGATGACGGTGAGGTCACTTGGCATGGTTGGGAATGCAGCACATCGGACGCAAGTACTTGGTTTCGCTTGATCCAAGCTTTGGTCTGGCGATCACTTCTTTGAGAGTCCAACTATCATGATTATGAGCAGTTTCAACTTAGCACATACGGCTCATGGGAAACAAACCTCATCCGAGCAATGTACCCCTCCCTGATTTGTCACCTTCGATGACGGACCATGTAGATTGCTGACGGTCGGAGACACCAAATGCACAATATCGGGTGAGTGTTCTGCATGTGGCGTATCTGGGTTCAGCAGATTCTGAATTCTCAGTCGATCATAGCCCGTCAACATAGTTATCAAGTACTATCGCCGTAGATTTAAATGAATGCAGTTCATTCACTTAACTAAATTATACATCAGTTAGTGTTATGCATTCCTAGGCAGATTTGAATCACAAACGGATAGAAAACTATCATTCACTTAAAGTCACAGAATAAAACGCAAAAGGAGCCAAGAATCCAACGATACACTAGGTAGATCGTAGCAGGGTCGTGTGGCATTAGTTGACTGAAGCCACTACTGGATACCAGTCCTAATAAATGAAGAGCCGGCGCCCTTGATGTTTCCCGAGAAAGCGGTTAACAATCTCGGCAATCCCGGGAGGTTAGATCCCACATATCATCGCTGTGCCGCGCCACTGGATTCTGTTGAGGCGCACGTACGGACATGGAAGGATCGGTGGGTACAAAAACCTCAGCGAAGGGTCCCTGAGGCAGTTTTGCAACACTTTATACTAAATCTGACCAAATCTGACCAAATCCACTTGAGCAATAGTTCCAACCACTGTCTGCGTACCTAGCATGAATGAGGTTGACTTTAGGGGGATCCAAGAAGTCGAGGATCGTAGTTCATGCTTTGAAGGCCTAGTCACTTGGTTAAAACGACCCCTATCAATGACTTGCAATGCATTGAGATTGATCTCGATATAAAATACAATATGATTTGGTTTTCACAGTATTCTGCTGTGTATACGTGTAAGACATAGCTAGGATATAGGAATTACTCGCTGCTGTATGGAGAAGAATGATTAGGTAACTAGTACATGCATTCTGTGTTAATGGAATTCTGAGTTACATATCTGTGGCGCCTGTTCTCTTGATATGACATATGATGATCATGTCCATTCCTGTGATATCCATGTTGAACAGCAATATCTGTTGCCGCCTTGACATTGATCGTTTCACTTCAATAAAGTTACTATACCATGTTGATTATTTAACCATAAGCGTTAGTTACGATATTACGCCAGAGTTCTCTCTGATCCACTCAGAATATCTTACATCATGTTGAGGGTTTAGAAATAAAGAATGTGTCAAATATTGATGAGTAGTAACTCCATTTCCTCCCCGTAGCAGGCAATCCTTGCTATGGTATCCTGCAAAGGGGGGCCGGGGTGGGTACCTCTACCGAATCAATGCTGCGCAGACAGATCAATGTACATGTGGACAGGCAAGAGAGACCGTAGAGCACATCCTCTTTCGATGTCAGAAATGGACGGCACACCGGGCCGACATGCTGCAATGCACCAACACCCACCGAGGTAACCTATCCTTCTTCCTGGGAAGGAAATCGGCTTCCGATGATAAAAACTGGACTCCAAACTTAGAAGCAGTACGGGCTTCAATACGGTTTGCAATCGCCACGGGCCGACTTGACGCCGCGTGACCCTATAGACGAACACCAATCACCCACCCCTCCCGACCTAACTCCCACCAACCACCTCGTGGCAGACACGGTAGACGCGCTTCAATTGCCGAAGATAGGATGTTGAACACTTGGAGAAGCGCCTTCAAGCCAGCCTACTAACCGAATTACTAACCCACGAGAATCCGCTACGATATTGACAGATGAGACGACATTTGTGAAACGTGAACTAGTATGGGCTTTCAGGAGACAAGGCACATCCTAGGAAATGTACTAGTAGATTAGTGATAGTTGCCCTTTCGGCTTAGCCGCTGGGCGTTAATAAATTTGTGTGTGTGTGTGTGTGTGTGTGTGTGTGTGTGTGTGTGTGTGTAGCGGGGGTAGGGGTATACAAAGCGGATCTTCCCCAGGAATAACTTGAGAGACGATATAGCTGTTGAGGAGGTTAGATTTTATCTCCTCGAGATAAAGACACTACCGGGGAGCCCAATGTTAGAAGTATTACATATTAGCTTTTGATTGAGATTTATTCTGTATCGAGGGCTGATGCTGATAAGCTGAGAACAATTATAAGTAGTGTTATTTTGGTCGGTCCATTCAGCTCTTGCTCTTGCACGCAGACAGTTGATGGTTTGCCAGATCTGCTAGACGATGACTGGAATGCTTCGAAGACCTGGGCATCGTGTTCTGCGAATATGGTGTACACTGAGATACAGAGGGCGGGCAACTTCCGTTAGATGTCCGGATGTGGAGTGGACTTTGACTTCCAATCGCCCTGATCAGTGGCTATACTATGCGTACTCTTGCCACTTCCATTCCATTGAAGCCCATATACAATTGTCACGAGCAGCTTCGTCGTGGTCTGCGGCTAAGGCTCTCTTCACCTTTTCTCCCATGTTTTGCAAGCTTAAATCGTCAGGGATCAGGCCTGTTTCAACCACGTTTCCCACTTGATGCTCGTAGCTCTTCAGCACATTCATTAAATGAGGACGTTTCTCCTTCATGTGCCTAGCTAAAGCATTGAGGTCTTCCTCAGAATATTTATTATTGTTACTAAATATTCGTTAGTGCACTGTATAAGTTCTCTCAAAAATTGGTGGCGTACTAGATTTTATCAATTGATTCACCCCCGATCAGCAAGTAGCCATTTGTTTTCTTGGCAATAGCGCTCACAGCTCTCTCGCATTTGAGGTTCAGGATCATGTCATCCAGAAAATCGAGAATCATCTTATCCGCAACCAAGCTTGCAAGTTCTCTATCACTAACTGAGAGTGTATTCTTCTTTACCGCCATCGCACAGGATTCGAGAGTATATCAAAGAATGAATAATGCAGAGTAGATGCGTAGAGGATATGTCTAGGATGTTGAGACAAAGAGGTCCCTATAAAGGGTTCTCCTCTTTATTCGTGTGGGGTAGGGTCTGAAACTGCACGCATCACAGTAATAGGAATCGATACTGTACACTCCTTTAGACTGTATTGTATCAGAAGTTGAACGACTGAAACTGAAAAGTTGACGCCAGCGTTGAACACATAAATTGGGTGCAACACCACGGATGGACTGAAGAAAAGCTCTACCACCGACCAACATCAAGGTATCCCCGAAATATACATACTGGATATTGCTCAAAAAATTTAGATTAATAAAGTCTGTTCCCACAATATACAACACTAGACCTAGTAGTGATTATTTTGTGCTATACCGATTGGCTCATAATGGTTGTTCAGAGCAGGCTGATGGAGGCTTTACAGTACAGTACCCTAACGTTGGTAACATTGAAAGAATCATCTGTGGAAACCTAAGATTTTTATTCAATTCCAACTTACTTTCCTAGATTGCAACATTATTTCTTTCCCTTACCGTCTAGTATTGTCAGATACTTATCATTCTAACTTTTTCGTACCTTGCCAAAGACTTCGATGATGTCGAAAGGAGCAAGATATGGCTTTTGTGGAAGAATTTTCAGTCGAATTAGATAGCCAGAAGCACCAAGAAAAAAAAAAAATTCAAAGGGAACAAGAAAACTCTAAAAGGAAATAAATTTGATCTAAACTGGATCAGAACTAAGTGTTCCAAAACTAGACCCTTTCCCTTGGAGTGTTCGAGCATAATATATACAATTAATCCCAACGACATCAATTTAATCATCTATGTTGAGATATTTAGTTGGTAGAACTACCTGAGTCTAGGGTGCCCTGCAGACACACAAAGTGGGGAAAGAAGGAGGTAGTTGTCCTTTCGAAAATAAGAAGAAACGGCATTCCATGAAAAGATAGATTCTTTTCCCCCTACTGTTTTGAACGTGGCATAACGTGGTGACTGCCATCAGCAGCACAGATTTACTATACTTATATGTAATATTCTAGAATCGAAGAGTTTAACGAAGAGCTATGAATTAAAAAAAAAAAAAATTATTCTCACGGTGCAGTACAGGACCGCCCAGGTCATTGTCTAACGGAATTTTCAACACTGAGCAGAGACAGAAGAATATTATACTGTAATGAAGCGGATTCATGAGAATGTGAGAGATTTTAGCTTATCTGAGCGGGAAATATAGCATCGGCAATTTGTGTTAGACTATGTACTTCCATCTTTCTCTCGAATGGGGACATGCCTATCGATAAGGTAGAGAAATAATGAAAAGAAGGCAGGATTTACCTTCAGATCTTGGCTCGTCAGATTCTTGGGCAGATGTTCTAGTTCTACTGTCGCGTCCCAATAAAAAATTAACAAAAGTGAAACTCGGGAATTTAGGCACGAGTGTCGACTAATGTGAGAGTCTGTTCTCATTACCGTACTTTGAGTCTGTGGTCGAATGATCCTGCTATGAACGCGTGTAAAGATTGTTTATCTACAAAGGTCCTCTCACCTCAAGAATAAGTTCGCTATGTTGAACGCTCGTTGGTGTGAGGATAGGCCATCATTACCACTTATTTCAGGGCGCGCACATACAGTCGGAGGAGTCGTTGAACATATCGACATCTGAAAAATGTGTTCAACGTCTGGTCCAGCCGATCCCTCCAAGCGATGAGATCGAAGACCCACCACCGTACCCAAGTTTCCAATTTCTTTTTTCCTTTTCTTTTCCACCTCACATGTTTGGTAATTACTATTTAATGTGGAGGACAGCTGATATTAGCTAAAAACACGAAATAAAGGTCAATCAAGTCGAGTGAGTCTGCTTAATAATTATGGAATTCTAAACTCTCTCGGATATTTTCGTCAGGTGAACTCATTTCTATGGGCCATGGTTGAATATACCCTCTTTGATGAATAAATAGAAATACTACCGTTGTTCTTGTTTTCTGTAAACATCAGGCTGTTCACCAATATCATTGTTCAATCCAGCTAGCCAAAGAGGAGGGCATTTGCCTTCCGGACCCACTGTATTCGTTGTGGAATGTTGGTACTTACAGTACCAATGGATTAGCTCACCAACAATGTACCGTACCGCCCTCATTTGCTGGTGGGGGAAGGGAGTGTTCAACACATGCCGGTACCGGATGAACACTAAACAATAGCAGCTGTCTTCATTGTGCCAGTCCAGGGAAGATCATGCTGAACGGGTCTCCCCGACATGATCAAATTTCGTCATATTCCATTTGATCAGTATAGTCGGAGACCGGAGGTATCCAGCAATGTTTTCTAGAAATTTTTCAACAATACAGTTTGCCCATCGGATTAAGTGGGTCCTGCCGGTATAGCATAGAATTATGAGACTTGGTACAGTGCAACTTGTTAAACACTCGATACAAGTTCCCCAAGGTCACCCCTCGGTTGGCTTTTTCGACTGAGAGCCAACATTAGGTTACTCAGTTTAAAACCAAAATTTCTGACTAGCCAGATGGGTTCATTCAACACTGAAACATACACACCCAATTCAGTGCTTCCTCTTGTAAATTCTTCTTCCTTTCCTATTGTCTGCTTTTCCCACTGTCCTCTCTTATTAGACTGTGACGACAGGATGGCCGGGATTTGAAATGTTGAGCTCAATTTTTTAGTTACTGTAATGGTCAAATTTTTAAAAACTACATAATGCCTAGTTAGTAGATTAGTCTCAACCCTAGCGATGTCCGAAAGGTTCAACACCCAAGTGTCGAACAGTTGCTTGAAGGCGGAAGTTCAGCCATAAACAGGGAGGCCACATTGTTTCCGTGCTAGGATTTAGCCTCATATAGAAATCCTATTTTAGGGTAACTTCGCTTTCATTTTAGGAGTGTATCACTAGGAGCGGAATCCTATTCAAAATGCGGTTTACGGTTTTGCTTTCCTTTTATTCTATTGTGTAATGGGGATGTTCAACGAGTTGAGAATGACCACTTAACCCACATCGTGCCGCACTAGTGTGTTGGTGTAATGGATAGGCCCATTAAGCCTGGCTTTATAATCAAACTCTTAGTTAACTGTGTTATTGTAGATAGCTGGACAGTTGTATACTACGTCAAATTTTGAGGCGGACAGGTGAAAGCGGAGAGCGCAACTGCCTCTAAGTTGGCTTCCAGCTGGATTTTTTTTTTTTTTTTTTTTGCACGGTCGGCTTTAGCAAGCAATTATTATACCTATGCAACTGAGGAGAATTTTACTCAATCTGGGTTGAAATAATGTTTTGATCTGGATATAATAGATGCGAAAGATCTGGAGAAATGTCACCCTCTTGTTCTTTGGCGGCCGAACGGAGAGCCCTCTTACCTGAAAATGTTGTTGGGCCTTCCTCCTGAATTATTACCGATGATATTTCAGAATGTTAGCCATCCGTGTTCGCAGGCATCATAATATGCTGACATGCCATAATAGCTAGGGAACCGCGACTTGTGGGCATTATTCAATACCTCAAAGGGTGTACGGCACAATGCTGCCAGGACTCTCTTTCGACGAATCAAAATCGATCATGCACCATGCAACTTTCCCGAGGCCCTGAACGAGAGGCCACTACCAGCAACGAGGATTTTCCAGCTCTTAGGCGAGTGGCTACCACTTGTTCGAGAGATATGCATCTTTTCTTACCGAGCTGTGGAGCCTTGCATGCTAAACTTGCTGGGTCGATTCCCCAATGTAGAGCGTTGCCGGTAAGGCTTCCTGGCTCTCCTCTTCATTATTATGCCTCTATTAATCCCAGCAAAACTATTAGTCTCGATGCCGAGAGAAGCGATGAGAGCTCAGATAGTTTAAAGCAACAGCTCATTGAGCAGCCATCCCTTCGAAAGTGGTATCTTTTTAATACTATTCCTGGTTCCTGGCCACTTCTGCCGTCATTCCAGTCGCTACAGACGCTTGAAATAAGAAGTTTATCAAGTGGTACTCTAGTGGTGCCCGCCATGCCAGCTCTCTTGAATCTTCGAATTGGTTTCGATTGTTCCTTTTATAACGATGAGAAAGAAGCGGGGGTTTGGGACTGCGCTGTTCTCGTAGACTTCTCGACGCTACCGAGACTGTCCAGATTGGCTATTTCTAACCTCGACCTTGGTGACTTGGTTTTCCAGGGAAAAGCGGAATCTTTAAAGACATTGGAAATATTTCTTGGGCAAGGTGAATTGAGCGACCAGTTGAGTGATATACTTCGTGAAATTGGAGGAGGGCTGGAAAAAATTATTCTGAACGACGTGTTGGGCACATGTTCTGAGCTAGATGTCGAGCTAATCTCCATCAAGAAGATTCATCTTATTGAGTCGACCGGATTTCTCCCTTTTCTGATCTTCAACAAACTCCCTGCTTTGGAAGAAATTACCTGGGAACAACCCTTCAGGAAGGAGCGTCGCTTGTTTCAGGAGCTCGAGGCCATTCGCAGCAATTTTCCAAACGATAAAAGTGATTGGGCGAGCATTATGCAACTGACCAATAGCAATGGATATCTAACTCCATTTTTGGATTTGGCGAGACGGCGTCTGGTCGATTGCTTCGAGCGTGAATATGAATGGTATTATTTATGATTAATCAAGTTTGACGTCCATATCGAGCCGTTGGCTATGACAGACATCTGCGTCTAGCCAGTGGTCTAAGTCACTACCTCTAATTACTCTATAGGGGTTCTATCAACCCACACCTATCATTTGTGTATTCAATCTGATCCTTTTCCTTGTCCGAGCCGTTTATCCACTCATGAGCCTTTGAGCTATACCCTACTGGGTGTCCATTACCTGCTCTGCGCTATCTAGGTGTGTCTAGATTGCCCTTGGCAGTGCCTGGATAATATACTACACTTTTCTTGATCAAGTTACTAATGAATACTACTACTTTGTGTATGAAAGCAAGGCCTAGCCTCTTTATTAATAGCTTCCAATTTAGAGTGAATCGAAGAACGTAGGGTCCGGAAACATAGGTTTACAGGTGTATCACTATGTGAGAGCCAATAATTCTATTGCTACAATTTTAGTGTATAGCGCCTAGTTGATGCACGGAACCGTCTCCCGCAAGAAATGGAGTCTGATCCATCCATTAAGCTGTCAAGATTACTCGATTCGCTGGGCCCTTGGGGAAACTTGTCTTGAATTACCGCGTCCTGTACCATTCTTTTTAGTGCCTTACCCATTCATATACAATGTTGTTTGCCGCTTCTTCTCTTACAAATTATCCTACATCAAGTTTAACCAGATAGCTTCTCGTTCTTATACTATTTTTGTTCTAGCATGTCATCATTTTCTGTCATTTTGTGGCTTTATTCATATATGGCGAAGAAAAGTGGAGAAAATAAACATGAAAGGATGTTTTAGGTAGTTACACCATCGGTTGGTTTCTTATATCATCCTGCTAGCCGGTAGTTCATAAAACTGCTGTAGACCATTGTGCAGCTGCGCTTCAGATTTCGCAGCTGCACAGCCCGTCCACCATCGGGAGCAGATACCTATGGAAGGATATGTCACTGGGTCTCGATAATGGTTGTAGTTGTACGCTGAGGAACGACGACCGTTACAGCGCTCGCACCGAAGAGGCCCGGCTGTTATCCTCGTTTCAGTCGCTGGATAGAAAGGCTGGTCCCGCTCAGTTGGCAGCCTCGTGATGCTCTGTTTGTGTTCTTGTGTCCCACAGGTAGTCGCGCGAGTTTTGTCTGTGGTACTGACAGCTGCATTTGAGGGAAGTAGAGATTTGCGCCTGGATTTTCCAAGTTAATGCATCATCGAAACCGTGCAGGACGTGACGGATTATACCTGCGCCGAACCCAAAGCCATATGCCATAAAAGAAGTGCATTGGTTAGGACAATCTAGATGATGAATCAGCACGTAAGATTGGCCTTTGACACAAGTGAATCTTGCTCTGAATTTAAAGTATGGGTTTTGTTTCAAATATAACCCATAAGACACCTAACACGGCAAGGCATAGCTGAAACAATTATCTATGGCCACAAATATATTCCAAGATATGCAATAGCAGACAAGGGCGCTTCATGGTAGAGTGTTATAAATTGTCTTAGGTATCTGACCGGGCTGATATGATAGATCATCGGCGAGGTTAATATTTTTTGTTACATATGGCTGGAAAGTGTACGTAGATTTGCTCGGCTAACCATGAAGCCTAAAAGGCCGTCATTCTTACTGTTTAACCAACAGTGATTTAGTTAAATACAGATATGAGATACTTTGAAGATTGGATCGTCAGGCTGAGATTGAGCAGGTCAACTTCGCCTGCCGTACCTGAAGCATATAGTATCACAATTGGATGTATATGTGACATTATAACGTGCACGCTTCGATAGTGTACCATATTTCCAGGATTTGCTGAACCCTTCTTAGGATTGTGATATACTGAACATTCATAAAGGTTCCAAGTTTAATATAAATTCTCTGGTAAACTCAACCCCACCCTCATAGTTCTAGCGTGAAGCCTAGCCAGGCATTCAGTAGGCGCCAACCAGTTCCTCGTCCAGGCTTTGTCCCAGTATGCCATCCTTCTGCTTTTATCAAGGCCTGGATCATTGTAGTGGCCCTAAAGAAGAACCAAGTGTTGATCAATCAGTATCGGACTCAACTATTGGCTGACCGCCAGCCAACTGCGTTGGAATTCCCCACCACACTGTACCATTAGCATGAAGATTTTGACGAACGTCCCACTCAACAAAGGGCTTCATTGCAACAAGTTAACTGATTAGAGTGTCCATTGGGAGCTTTTTCGGTGGAGCGTCCATGCTCAGTACCGGTACAGAGAATAAATAAAGTACCAAAAAAGGTAGGAATCTGATATGAATGATGATCCACAAATGAATGACAAGGGGCCAGGACATCCAATAAACGAATAGATTGCGGTCAAGCAAAGAGCTCACTTGGAAAAGGGACCAAAAATGTCCACTGTCCTGTCGTATGTACCATACAGGCTTATTGGTCATGGTAAGTAAGTGGAGCTATCAAATCACAGACGAATCGTTGGCCTCAACCATTATAACCAACTATAACCAACACCGGTGAAACGCAGTCGTCACCCTGCACGGCTCGCAGTCGCCCAAGACTAAACTTTACGAAAGCCACCAACCGGCCGCCGCCATGAGTGCCAAATACCCATATCATCCTCCATTTAAGAATTTATAATCCCAACACCATATTTACCAAGAAATACTACTACAGCATATCAGCAAACACAGTGCCACATTCTCCCCCGCACTCCTGTCCCGATGAGAGCCAAAAAGCAGAGACAGCCTTTACAGAAAGCGACTGTGATCAAAACGGCTCAAGTTAAGCCAAAAGATTCACTTGGGTCCTTGGATAGAGGCGTCCTTATCAAAATACAGAAATGCCTAAGTCGAGCTCGCCATAAGAGTGCCACCGAGTCAGAAACCAAAGCCGCCCTTTTCGTTGCCCAGAAGCTAATGGCCCAATATAATGTCTCACAAGCGGATCTAGTGGCCAACAGTGATGATGGAAGCAAAGCCCAATATGGAGGAATGAGCAAGGTGGAAATAATTAACGTTAAGAGCCGTACCAGACGTGTGATGAAGGAGGCATTTGTGCACAAGTTGGCAAAGGTTATGTGTACGTTCTTTGATTGCCAATGTTTTTCGACGGACTACGAAACATCCATTGCTTGGTCATTTTTTGGTATAGCGGAAAACACGGTCACAGCGGCAATAGCGTTCGAAATGGCGCACAATAAGATCCTGGACTGGGCATGTTCCTATAAGGGCGGTTCGGCCACGTTCAGCTACCGCGTCGGAGTTGCTGATGGGCTCGTCTCCATGGCCAACCGTGAGAAGAAAATTGAACTCGAGGCGGCAAGAAAAGAGTTAGATATAATAGCCGCCAAGGAACGGGAAGCGGACATGGAACGCGAGCGCAAACTTCAGAGGCTCTATAAAGGACCTTCACTGGCGTTAGACATTGATGGCCAGTCAGAGGACGAAATACCTGGCTTCCTGGACATAGACAGCATGTCCGACGAGTCTTACGGCTCTCTAGAGTCGATAGACAATCTCAATCTTAATACTAGAGGAGCACTGGCCGACTTTAATGAAAATGACGAGAATGTGGTCGATCTCATGTGCAGCGTGGAAGACAACATTGACAAAATTATCAAGAGGGAGTCGCGCGAAACCCATGATTTTAACAGCATTCCTTCCCCTTCGGTGAAGCAGAACCCTTCAGATAAAAATTCCTCGTTTGTTAAAAGCGAGGATATGTCAAACTCGCCGTGGATGTCTGAAACGCAGCTAGTACGTTTTCGCGCCACATCGGTGCAGGTTGCAGACGAATACCTCAAGAAGCACAATATCAAGCTGCGTATGGGAAAGACACGCACAGTGGTCACCCGCGATTACTCTGCTTATCGAGAAGGGTGGAAAGACAGTGAAAAGATTGATTTCCGTCGGCGCAGGTTGGAATGATCGTATATATTGAGCCCTCTGATCTGTACCATACCCAGCCAGAGCTCCAGGACGTTAGATTCTCCTACCCAGACTCCGGTGACTTCCCTTTGTCATCATACTCGGATGTGTCAATATGCGGCTGTTCCATATAGAATAAACAACAATAGAATATGCAATGATTGGGACACAGTCTCTGGTCTCCATACTCATTTTCGCTAGTAAGCTATGGTACTTTACCTTCATTGACTGGCGACACTCGCAGGATCGCGTAGTGCAGTAACTGGTTAATAGCTTTTCGCTTCTCCACTGAATTATTACAGACGTGAGTTACGCTATATGTCCAATCTGCCACTACTGGATGGGTGCAATTTATGCTCATTGTAGGCTGATGTGGCACATTGTAAGCAAATTAGATTTTAGTGAGAAAAGCTGTGGCTCAGTAGACTGGGATCAAAAAGCAGGCAAACAATCGCTTTCAAACAAGTTAACATTTTCCCTGCGTTGGTGCATCAACGTTGTACTTTAGCCCCATAATCCATATATTACGTGGGAGTAAGACATAGTTCACAGCTAGAAGGGAAGGGATAAGGACAGAAAGGGTGTGAATGAAGTACATCTGCAATAGAGGGATCCGCCCTCCCCGTGGCTTACTCTATTAGCATCAGTTTTTAATCCTCAGGTAGTTCTCCAAAACCTGTCTCTCGATTTGATATCTGCGTTACAAGCTCTCCCGGCGTCCCGTGCATTACGCTCTGTCAGCGGTAGCAAAAACCTCTTCAGTGACTTATTGAGACTGAGTTCGACTATCAACTCTGATAACTATGACCTTGAAGGGCTAATACCATTGTTTGCTGCGATGCTCAACAATGAGCAAGATGAGAAAATTTGGGACAAAGTCTATGCTATTGCAACGGAATCGACAACCCCCCCTACGACCCTTGCCTCTCCTGAGCCGAACTCCGTATTTGCATACTACGAGTAGTCTGGTCAACTCTTCCGAACGTCGAAAACACGTTGATCATGTGCTAAAGGAAGAGCTAGACTCAATATACATTGGCGTTCCGGGCTTCTTCGAAGCATATTTTGGAGGAATAGATGGATTAGACAATATCTGTGCTACGGTGTTTGAGAAATGCAAAGAAGGAGATGCATCACTTCAGGGGAGGTGGTTGGCGGGACTGGCCCAACATCTCTAAAGAAAAAGATGTGCTTGCCTGGCTGACTCATCTCGTCGATGTTTTCCACAATTCGCGACTGAAGAAGGCGTTCTAAACCTAGGCCATCGTAGGCTCTTGTCACAACCCAACCATCCGCTAGAAGGATCCACAGCAGAGCGAAAGCTAGATGTTGGTTTTATATGCCAATCTGACCTAAACGATAGCTCCAGGTATCACTGGTCACATGTTCTAGTTCTAGGTGAACTAAAGAGTAACCCAAGTGCCGATACGGCCTCTAGGACATGGCGTGATTTGGGGCGTTATGCAAGGGAGGTCTTAACGATTCAAGATACTCGTCGTTTTACGCTAGGCTTTACATTATGTGGGCCCAACATGCGACTCTGGGAGTTCGACCGTGTCGGGGCAATGGCGTCGTCCTCCTTCGACATCAACAAGGATGGGCTTCAGTTTGTTTCGGCCACGTTGGGTTTTCTTACGATGAACGATGAACAGTTAGGGTATGACCCAAGCATCATATCTACATCTGACGGGAAAAGCTACATTGAGATTCAACGCGATGGACATTACGAGCGTCTTATCCTTGAAGGGCTGATGAAGAGATCTGCATGCGTTGCTGGCAGAGCTACAACTTGCTGGAAAGCCCGTCGCGAAGGAGACAAGACAAATTCTCCACTTGTTATCAAAGCTTCATGGCAATATCCAGAGAGAGAAGAAGAGGGGAAACTTTTACAGGAAGCGACGGAGAAAGAGGTTGTTAATGTAGCCAGATATTACTATCATGAAACCGTTCGGGTGAATGGAGAAATCGACAATATTCGCAACAATGTTCGGAAGGGATTGGATGTCACGCAGTCCACGAACTTTCGACCAATGCGGTATGAGCTGCCCTCAGCTGCAAGTGGCACAGCAGGAATAGAAAGAACCGGTCGCTCTACAAGCACGACCGGCCAGAAAAGGTCATCTAGCCAAGCCAGCGCAATACTGCCACCAAAGAAACGCCCTTGCTCAAGCTCGCCTTCCAAAAGTGTGCGTGATACCAATATACAGGATAGGGTACATCGTCGAGTTATTGTCAAAGATTATGGTCTACCCATATATAGAGCAAGCTCACGCGTCTCGCTACTACGTGCACTTGAGAATTGCATAGAAGGTATGAGTTTTGTTCATGTGCTATAGTTCATCACTAATTATACAAGGCTACCAGTCTTTGCATACGAAAGCAGGACTTTTACAGGGTGACGTCTCGACTGGGAATCTTATCTTGAATGAAGACGTAGGAAATCCGTCATGGTCAGCGTTTCTCATCGACCTGGATCTATCTATCGAGAATCATCGAGAACGACCATCTGGAGCTAGAGGGAAGACAGGGACGAGGGCATTCATGGCAATAGGTCTACTTCTGGGAGAGCAACATTCATTCAGGCATGACCTCGAATCTTTCTTTTGGGTACTCTTCTGGATATGTATTCACTACAATGGTCTAGGCCAAGAGGTTGGGCCAACTGACTTCGATTGTTGGAACTATGAGGATGATAGAAAGCTGGCTCGTTCTAAGCAAGGTATAGTTGCTGACGAAGAGGATTTTGTTAAGATTGCAAGTGAGTTGTTCTCACCATACTATCAAGCATTGGTTCCTTGGGTCAATAGGTTGCGCCGAGTGGTATTCCCGGGAGGTATGCGGAGAAAGAATGACGATACGCATCTTTATAGTCAGATGAAAAATATCCTTCAAGAAGCAGTTAGTGATCCGAAAGTGTTAGCACCATAGGTAATATTTAATCAGCGAGGCATCATTATTTGTAAAGTAGCACAGTTTCAGTATTTTCATATTCAATTAGAATCAGTGTGCTAGCTAATCAGTTTCTTTTCCATAAGCAATATCCGTAACTACTGCATTGCAATCGTTTTTTCGTGCTTACTGCTGAACATTTTAGTCATTCGAGAAACCCAGTACTCAACCAAGCCACTAGCCTTAAAGAGGACGCTAGATGTGGCAGAAAGATATGCTTGACAATACTCATACATAGTATCTAAATAACGTAATATAAAACGTAACAGCACATTACAATGTGTATTTTGGCACGTGAACTTTTTGTAACGTAAGGCTTGTTTTGTGGCGGTGCAATGTTCTGTATTGTGGGGAAAGATTATGTACCGTAATATATCCGTGTGAAGCATTCAGTGAAATGCGTTCCGTCCTTTCATTTTGTTGTTGACATCCAATGGAATCCTACTTTACTCATAAATCAGGTCAGATCTCATAGATTAAACAATGTAAATTTTCATACGTACAGTATATTGGCCCCTCTTGCTGAACTGTGTTATGCTTTCTATTATTCTTTGTGCACTAGCTGTTTAGGGGCCTCCCACTTGAGATTCTAAGGCAACTGTTCGGGCTTCAGAGTACGTGTCACGCATGGAGGATTAGCGCTTTCCCTTAGCATTAATTCAACTCCTTTCAAGCCCAGGGGAGGATTTGGTGTCCATGTTATTGTATCTGCTTTTAGTTACTCAATACATCTCCATTAGCAAAGCAAGACTTTATTTACTAGGCGATAACTCTAGCGACCACCAACACTACAAATCTCGTAAATGAAAAGCTTGTTCACCCATAAAAGTAATTATATTCAATCTATCGAATTATATAATCTCTCACAGAGGCTTTAATCGGGTCGACCGCCGCGACGGCGGTCGTATGACGGACCAACGTTTCCGAAGCGAAATCGCAGACCGTCCTGGAAATCGCTTTTGAAAGGCTAGCGTTACCGCTTCGAAAGTCGCCAACTTCCGCATGAGTGTCTTCAGTAACTTGTCCTCTTCTTGACTGTAAGGCCTAGCTTTCTGACCTGAGGTTTGGAAGTCCGTAGATCTCTGACAAGCCTTGGCCGCTTGCTCCTTAGCTTTAGCTCTAGTCATAGGCCCTGTTAGTCCCACGGCCTCCTTTATCCTGCCTTCGATAACGGGCATGTCTGAAGAGCTTTGTGTTGTGCAATCCGCTTTCTCTATTGGCTTCGATTCATGGTAAGTCAAACTTGGTGCTGGCTTCGCGTTCAGAGAAGTCAGAGACAATGGAGCGTGTTCAATGATTATGTTGTCCGTCTCCGGTACAGCCACACCTTGAGAATCATACCTTCCTAGGGCTAGGTCTGCGAAGGGCTGCTGAAGTGTAGTATTACCCTCGATCTTCTCAGTAGCATAGTTGCTTTCCACATGCACCCTTGAGCTACATGAATAGGGCTGTTCAGTTTCCTCAACCGGCTGGCGCAAGAGAGCAGACGGCGTCTCTAGAATCCGTGGGTTGATGGGAACCGCACCAAAAGTGGGGCCTGTCGTTGAAGGGCTTGAGTAGCCGCTCAAGCTATCGGTCAAATCAGGTGTGTCAAATGTGGCCGATCGAGCATTCTGGCTATTCTGGCTTACAGCAGGCAAATCCAAGCTTTGGCAGTTATTAACGGCTTGCCAAGCCATTCCTTTAAGGCTCTCTTGACCCTTATCTTTCTCCTGAGCAGGGACAGACGTGATAGTCTTGAGACGCATTGCGGGAGGTTCCCAGAAAGTAATCTTCAGTTCTTTCGTAGTAGTAGATAATGGTACGGAAGGCTTCTTGCGTTGCTTGCGCGGGCGTTTCCGCTGCATACAATGATCCCTGTCTGAATTAGACTCCTCGTCCTGCATCGAGGATAATCGTTTCTTGCAGGCCTTCTTGGCTCGCACACAAATGGTTTTGTGGTAATGGTGCACATCGCGAAGGTGCCGGCGGTAGTCCTGTTCCTCGGTAGCAATGTGGTTACAGGAAGGGTCAGCGCATTCCGATGGCCATGATTTCCGATCAACATGCTCCTCAAGATGCTCTCGCAGCTCTGTGCTTCGGTCAAAGGCTCTCATCCTGCAGGCCGCAGGAAGCCGGTCATCCCACATGCATTCAATACAGTATCCGGCACGGATGGTGGTATGGCGATACACCATCACCTCGTAGTGTTGGCTGGTCATCGAGGGGAGGTGTCCCGCACAATGCTCCTCAAACTCAGCACTCTTTCCATCATGGAAGGTGTAGCATTCCCAGCAATACTTGATCTGTTGAAGAGGGATGTTCAAGTTTCGAGCGGATTCTCGTTGAATACAAGAATGGATGTGCGTGCTCCACAAGGGCTTTTCCATGCTGTGGCATGTCAGTGGAGGATCAGATCTATATAGGGAAACAGTGGGCGGCTCACGGTTCCAATAATTTACGACAGCTGACAACGGGGCATCGCTTTTCAAAGGGCTCCTCACCCGGACGATAGACCGCGTCAAAATCACGAAGACATTGGGTAAAGAGATCCTTCACCACACTGGCTTTTTCGTCAAAAGAAAGTGGCTCGTTGGATGACATGACCGCCGCTAAACGGCCTAATTCAGGCATGAGCTTGCACAGCACCCGCTTTTCTGCACTCTGCTCAATATGATCCGGGCGTTCGCGGCCCCTAGTCAGGATTTTCCAGTCCCGACGACTCTGGACCCATTGACTCTGGTATTTCTGCAACCTGTTCGAAGAGATCCTTCTCTTAAGGACGCTATATTCGCGCTTTGCTCTTCTGATGTCATCATCTGACTGTGCTTGCTGGATTTCTGCGGCTTTGGCGACCAAACACGGGTCTTCATGGATCTTCTCTTCCTCTTCTGTAGGCAACCGGCGAGGGAGGCCATTCTCGTGGAATCGGTCGTAGCCTTGAAAGTAGTCAATGTGAGTATGATCTGCGGCTCGGCCTCGTAGAGCATTGAATACATCCACGCCGGAACAGTTAGCAAGATAGTCATTTCCGTACACAGCTTTAGACCTTTGTGTAAGAATTTGAGCCACGAGAGCCGAGGAATATTTGTCTGCGCGAGGATTTAGCTAAGCTCTCATATCAGGTGAAAAAAGCATGAACCAACCTTGGACAGCTTTTCCTAGCTCGCGGCGCATCGCATGTACCGTTGCAGTTACAAAATAGCCAGCATTGACAAGGATCTTACGTAGACCCTCTTGATATCTCTCCTTTGTCAACGGCTCCTCACTAACCTTTTCTGCTGTGACGCGTCTTACAATACATCGGTCTTTGGCTTCATCATTCCATCTAAGGACCAGTTCGTCTTCCCCTTCGGGGATCCTTTGCTCAAAAATCTCCTCTGGCCTGGAGAACCCAAAGAGAGCATTATCCGCAAGAGCTAGTGCTAGGAGGTGCAAGGCTCCTGAGTAGATAGGTTCATTGCAGTCCCAAATAGCAGTACCAAAGCTGTTCTCGTTAATGACCACTCCAAAGCTGGTGATGGTGATAACTACATACATTGTATTCTCGGGGTCTTTGTTGTTCTTGACAAACTGTTGGTCAAGCCGCCATCCGACCCTCCAAGGAGCATTATCGGTACGAAACAATACAAGCTCAATATTCTGGCTACTGTCAGCATTTGGAAGTAGAAGTATAGGCATATTAGACTCCGTACTTTGTAACGAAGCCCCCGTCCGACTCTTTCTGCTGATGCAGGTGTGAAAGAGGACACTCTGGCACCCGTGCATAGGAACTGAAGAGTAATGAAGTGAAACTGGACACGGTACCTTCCATGCATGAAGAATGGATCATCTGTTGTCCAGAAAGCGGTCATGGCGCGCTCAAAGCTCGAAAGCTTGAAAGTGTGCTTCGGTCTTTTGATCACTGAGAGGAACCCCTCTTGAACTAGATCATGCTCTATCCACTGTAATAATCAGATACATGGTCCTCGAAAGAGGAATCCAACTCACGCTGTAAAGAGCGGCCCGGTTATGGGGGGAAATCTCGTTCCCTGTCAGAAAATAGAAGCCTGGGACGAACTCTTGAGCCCAGATCAAAGTCGTGTCCTTGGTCGGTCGTCCATTTGGTGCAAGTCTGCCGTTAGTAGACTCAACATGCCACCGGATAAACTCTTTGAGTTCCTCTAGTGTTGGCGCCGGATGCCCGTCTCCAACCTTATGGTCTTCAGGCATATCTTTCTCCTCTTGGAGAAATCTAACGAAGTCATGGTGAGAAGAACGACTTCATCTTAGAGTATATAGATACTTACTCCTCATACCTCCGCACTTTCCCTGCATATCTCTTTTTCGTTTTGGGCGAAGCTCTACCCCTTGTCCTTTGGGTATCTTTCTGTTGATGAGCTTTCGCCTCATAGCCTCGCTGTTTACGGAGTTCACGGCGAGCTTTTCTTTTCTTTTCATCCTGCTCAGCCTTCGATGAAGAAGAGCGTATAGCCATTATCAGCCGCTGAAATATAGCAAGATACAATGAGTTTGGAAAAAGTACGAGAGAAAGGATTGTAGAAGATTGGTGCGAAATGAGATGAAAGTGAAAATGTCCTGGGCGAGTAGGGCATATTTATATTCGCAATTGAAGTGCGATACCTTTAGTTCCTTTACTTAGAAATGACCCCTCATCACTTGCTTCAAATTCTGCTCGAAGCTTCTTAGTGTCGAACATAGTGTGCGGTGACTGAAAAAGATTACCAGCCCTTGTCTTTGAGACGCCCCCAGATACATGCGGGTTGGATCATATACTGGATCACTTAGTGTGTACACGGTTTAGAGAACTGCTGTTGGTCACGTGAGAGAAAACAGAGAGTGGACTGGAGTTGCTCCGGGATCACACACTGAGTTGAGCCAGAGCAATCCGGGAGCAACCGGAGCTGCGGTGCGTGCTCACTGAGCAGTCAGTGAGTGGCCCGGAGCGAACACGGAGCCCTCACGTGCTGCCCTCACAAAAGCGGCGGCATCCGAATCGGGTAACAGGACCCAACTCGCAGCAAAACAGTTCACTTATACACTTGTATTACGACATGGATATTGTAGGAGTCTTACTAACCCAGTACAGAAATCACAGCATGTGACCCGACCGGACAAGTCCCAAGTAAAACCTGAGGAACCCTTGGCCCTAAGCTGACCTCAACTTAGACTTATGCTTGTCAGTGCTATAGATGCTTTTTAACCGTAGTCAATATCTTATTGCTTTAGTAAGATCAAATCCTTACTTTACTTTGACTAATATATATCTTTATAGTGCTAATAACCCACCCAAGCCTCTCAAAGTTCCAACGCGACGCCAAGCTTAATTAGTTACCCTAGGCAATTCAACAACCTCTCCTATGAACAGCATCCACGATTTAAGATATAAACCAAATTCAAAAATCAGACAACATGTGAACCTAGCCAACTCGGTATAGTTCTACAGTTCAAATACCTGTAGTAGGTATTTTTTATATCTATACAAATCGCTCTTTCGCGGACTAGTTGACACGGTAACCTCTACGACCAAATTCTGGCATTTGTATAATTCAACTGGTTAGTGGGTTTGTCGAGTATACTTTGTCCTGGTAGTAATAGAATGGGGTGGATCTGCTAGATTTCAGCCTATCAACTTGGACTCAACCTTGGGCTAACATCATGGATGACGGTCGACTGTTGACCTCGGTCAAATATGTATCATTGGGCGCAGCTGGTTATATATAGTGTCAGAAATGGCCAAAATCTCACTAAACGTCCATGCCTAAACTTTACGGCCCCCCTCCTTCTGGAACAGATTACTGCGCATTCACTGGCTCTGTAGATAACTCTGGATAACCACGAAATACGTGTTGGACTTCCACCCAGTCACAATCACATGTAAATAGATCCATAATTCCGTAGCCAACGCTCACCAGGCGTACATAAGGCAGAATCAGACAGCCATAGCGCCCCTCTGTTGAAATTTTGAACTTTGAAGTAGAATCTAACCATTGGCTCCCGAAAATTATACACAGGTAGAATATGCTCAAAGAACAAACAGGTATAAGCAGGAAATTGGTATTAAGAAAGCGGAAAAAGAAAGAAACGGAGAGGTTACAGCCATTTTCTTCCCGCAGCCGTAACCCGCGACCTGAAGACGGGACTCTTAATCTCCATGCCTTGCCTATAGAATGGGCTCATCACGGTCTTGACATAGTTTTCGTAAACCTCGTTCATAAATTGGCGCACGGCCTCCTCGGTCTGCGGGGAGGTTGGGTTCGCCCCGATTGAACTAGATGACGCGCGACTGGAACTACCACCTCCTAGAGCAGAGGCCGAGAAACTTGCTCCTAGTATTGAAGAAGATCCGCTTCCAGTTGAGGAAGTGGAGGGGAGTTGAGGGGGTTGATGTAAGAGGAGAAATCGGGCGCCGGAGGGAGCGAGGAAGGCGGAGATGTAGGCTGAGGCGGGTGGATAGGTGTCGATGTGTTTTAGATACCTTCATGTTGGTTTTTGTTTTAGTATGCGGCCTATATCACATCAAGCAAGTAAGAAACGGAAAGAGGAGACATACAGGTTCCCATTCATCCACTGTGCTTCCTCTACAATGTCCAGACTTGAATGGATGATGAATTGGTTCATGTATTGTGCGGTATCCGGAAAGCGGAAGCGGGCAATTCCATCGCCACCACTTTTGGAGGTGCCGAAGGCGATGTTGAACAAAGGAACATCTGTGGGGGAGAGAATGGTGAAGTAGTAGGACATTTGTATTTGTCAACTTCGCGGGAATATTGGCTCAGAGAAACAATGATGATGTACGGGGAGTAGATAATGGTACATAAGTCACGTGAACGATAAGATAACCGTTATCTATTCGTACTGTATGTATGGAGTATATGGTTTCTCAATAATTGTTTCCACCTTACATAGCGTGACTATTTCTTCCCCGAGGTTGCCTCACTATTTCATTAGCTTATACGGGTGCAGATTCGACAGGTTCCTGATAATCATATGCTACAGCATAAAGCCCTGCCGTATGTGGTGCTGGACCCTGAAGTAGTGGACTGAGATGCTACGTACTATGTACATGCATTCTCCCTACATTGCTGGCAACGCGTCATCTATGCCAGGAAGGGATATCAATTTCAAATGAGCTATACTACCCTGTGTATCAGCACGTTGATGGTTATAGTGAACCCACTACACTTTACACCTCAAGATGTCCGACAATTCAATCTGAGTGTTTTGTATGCCATATGCATGAGGAGCCCGAAAAAGCCACAATGAGACGTCATATCACTTGTTGCAAGGAATCTGGAAGTACAAGGAAGGAACAACATGTTGGCTCCTGGCCGGCTTTGTGGGACTACCCCACCCATCGTGATCTCTGAGCGATCCAGCAATTTAGTCACCCCTGGCTTTGATGCTGTCCTGTCTATCAGAGACACTAGAGGATGTATAACAGTAGCCCAGATCGCCCTCCTTCTGGCGAACTGACAGAGCTTTCTTGTAACTCATCGCAGCATTTTTGCTTATGTATGATTGCTCCGCAGATCATAGCCCCATTTCACCAACAAGCCACGAGGTTTTATGACCGACAATTCTGGAATGACGCCAGATGGCGTCTTAACTCACTCGCCCCGAGATAGTGGTAAGTACAAGCCAAAAGCTGAAAGTCTTTCCCTTCCTACATGCTCTCACCCTCGAACGCTAGCTGGTGCCCCGCTAAAAAATGTAAAAGACAACCAGCTTTCCTTAAAATCTTATGGACACCGAGACACTTCTCCGGAGGTGCCGAGCGGACCCCGAGCCAACGCCAATGAGAAAAAGCAGCGATGGAGATGGCCACTTAGAATTTGGCACTTAGTGGTTGACCAATGGTTTCTTATTGTCATGGGCATCCTGATTGCCTTTGCCTCTCAGGTGCAGGTGCCAAGGTCCCAGCAGCAGATGAAGAAAACCGTCGTCAACTATCTAGCGGTTGCCGTCATTTTCTTCGTCAATGGATGCACACTTCCTACTCAGGTTCTAGTAGAAAATCTGAGCCGTTGGAAGGTGCACATCTTCACCCAAGTGCAATGTTATCTCCTGACCTCATCTATTAGCTATGGTATTGTCAGCATCTGTGCAACTGATAGGTATTTTATGGATCCAGCACTATTGATCGGAATCATAATTCTGGGGTGCCTTCCTACCGCGTAAGCCAACTCAATGAGAAGTTCACGGTTATTGGTTTTCTTTCTGTTGTGGGATGATCGCTAATCCGATGCCAATGACGTAAAGCATCTCTTTCAATACAATAATGACCAGAAAGGCCAACGGAAATGGAGCCTTGACTATCGCGCAGTCGACCATTGGGAATCTTCTTGGTCCATTCCTGACGACAGCTTTGGTAAAGCTCTACACCGGCACTGGCGTCTGGTACACAGACATCCTGCCGGGGACCGAAGGATTCACCGAAACATATCGATATGTCTTTAAGCAGCTGGGGCTTTCAGTTTTTGTTCCACTGGTATGTCCTACATTCCCATTGATAGCATGTGAATCGTTGACACTTATATACCTCCTTGATTAGCTGGCCGGGCAAATCATAGTCAGCGTATTTCCACGTCTAGTGAAGATTGTATTCATAGAGTGGAAAATGAACAAACTGAGCTCTTTTGCATTATTGATCGTTATCTGGAGTACTTACGATGGTGCATTCGAATCAGATGCGTTTTCCAGCGTTCAGTCAGATAACATGGTATTCGTTGTCTTTATCTTGGTAGCACTATTTCTGGTGTGGATTGCCATCGCCATTCTGGTCTCATGGCTATGGCTCAGCCGCGAGGACACGATAGCTGTGGCATATCTGGTGCCCACCAAAACTCCGGCGATGGGTGTGCCAATAACGACGATCATGTTTGCGGGGCTGTCTGAAGCCGCTCAGTCTAGGGTGCAGCTGCCCATGGTCATTTACCAGGGGGTCCAAACGACTCTTAGTAGCTTGTTGACTATTCCCCTGAGGAAATGGAAAGCTATCGAGTCTTCGCGGCGCCGATTGGTGCAGGCTGAAACTTCGGAACTAAACGATCTGTCGCAGGATACAGGCTTACCTACGAGGCCTGCGAATAATAGATCAGTCAGTACTATAGCATGATTGAACTTAGTGATATCGTGGAAGACTGCGTGACCAAATTTCAATTTTGTTGCATACAGCTCGGCGTTATAAGTCATTTAACCATGTGATTGTGTCTGATCACAAACATGCCTTGTACTGCGTTGCTCTATTAGTTCTGCTCATATTGCAATCTACACTGACTTCTACGTGGTTTTGACCTACAAGTAAATGTGAAAAATTTCACGTCCATATACTAGTAGTGTCATACAACTACTCGCAGTTGATAGTCTCCTCAAACAAAAACACCGCTTCCAGGACTGTTCATAGAGAAAAAGACAGTTTTGTGTGGCATTTATATCAAAGATCGCAGACTTTCTTACCCAAGTGTAGACATCCCAGAGTCCATAGTTAGTAGCTAAACGACTTAACTGTCCACAAACAGCGTAGACACTCCATAAACTCCAAAAGAACCCTACAGAGTATACGATAAGCCCCAGCCACAATACCGATAAGATAGCCTTATCATCACATGACCGCTATCAACCAGAACTTAGGTCCAACTTTCAAAAGAACCCCGAACACGAACCATCATCCAGCACTCGGAACAAAACCCCATACATCAAAAATGCCACCCCCAACGATTTCATACGGCCTCAACCTCGCAAAGAAAAAACAACCAAACGCGCGCCCAGGCGCCCCGGGGGCCCTTGGGCAAAAGCGCAAGAAAACAATCTTCGACTCGGACTCGGACTCGGAAAGCAAAGACACCGGAAGCGGGGAAATCGAGATCTCCACAATTGGCGGACTAGAAGAGACGAAAAGCACTTCATCTTCATCTGCGAAATCGTCGACCACGGGACCTCCTGCGAAGCGCAAAGTTCCGTTTGGAGGAGCTGCCACGGGGAAACCGAACGTGAAGCCGCTTGGCAAGAATTCTATTTTCGCGGACGATGATGAAAACGATGAGACTACGGAGCAGCAGACGGAGAATAGTGGGGTTTCGTTTGGGTTGAATACGAAGAAGGGTGGTGGTGGTTCCGCGGCGGGGAATAAAGGCTATGTGAATCTGTCCGCGATGCATAGTAGTAAGAAGCATGCGCAGGAGGCGGCGGAGCTTGATCCGTCGATTTATTCTTACGATGCAGTGTATGAGAGCTTGCATACGAAACCTGGGAAGGGGAAAGCGGCCGCGGAGAATAAAAGTGAGGGACCGCGGTATATGGGGTCTTTGTTGCGGAGTGCGGAGATCCGTAAACGCGATCAGCTTCGCGCGCGGGACCGGGTGCTGGCTAAGGAGCGGGAAGCTGAGGGCGATGAGTTTGCTGATAAGGAGAAGTTTGTGACGTCTGCGTATAAGAAGCAGCAGGAGGAGTTGCGGAAGATTGAAGAGGAGGAGGCAGAGCGGGAGAGGCAGGAGGAAGAGCGACGGAAACAGAATGGAGGTACTGGTATGGTTGATTTCTACAGGGACATGCTATCTCGGGGCGAACAACAACATGAAGCTGTTATGAAGGCTACGGAAGAGGCTGCACGGCGGGTGCAAGCTGGCGAAGCTCCGGAAGAAACAGAGGAGCTCAAGGAGAAGACAGAAGCGCAGAAGGCCGAGGAGCTCAACGCGCGGGGTGCCCATATTGCCGTCAACGACGAAGGACAAGTTGTCGACAAGCGGCAGTTGCTATCTGCTGGTCTCAATGCCGCCCCAAAGCCCAAGCAACAGCCCTCTGCGGCCTCGGCTTCTGCTGGATCGGGCGCTTCTGCGCCAAGGTCCCGGTTCCAATCGGAGCAACAGAACGCTCGGGCTGGCCAGCGCGCTCGTCAAACAGAGATGATTGCCTCGCAACTGGAAGAGCGAGCGCAACAGGAAGAAGCGGCCGAGGCAGCACGGCAGAAAGAAATCGCAGAGCGCAGCCGCAGTCGCAAGACCGAGGGAGATGTCTCGAGCGCGAAGGAGCGATACCTGGCGAGAAAAAGGGAACGAGAGGCCGCTGCGAAAAACAAGGGTGCCTGAATTTTCCCAGTTTGCCTTTACTGTATACTGTTTTGATCACTTGGGAGTCACAGGGGTTATGGCTGCATAAATGAGGCGTTAGACATGGTATTGTTTGTATATGCGTATAATAGATGTATGATAAATGCGAAAATTGACATTCTCCCTAAATTACAACCCCCGAACTTGATTCACCTTAAGCTGTGTTGTAGGCATAGACTAGTCTAATGTGTCAGTCTTTCTCAAGTACAGGTCTTAATTTATTCAAACAGGCTATACGGAGTACAGAATCTAGTCTAATTTACCCTTTTAGGTTTCTAACCTATTACTTTCTACTATAATATTGAATTCAGCACTAATCGCTCCTCTATAGGACTATTAAGTAAGTATCTTACAAAGAGCAAATGATTTGATGTAAGATTTTACCCAGCACATGACCTCTGGATCTGTGTCACCTGAAGCCATGGTCAGATTCTCCCCCATCTCACCTCGTGTAATCAATCAGTACCTTACGGCACAGTGACTGACTACATATGATCTCACCAACAAGGAGACACATGCACCCCACGGTCCATCAAACAAGCATAGTGATCTCCTAGATCTACTAGACAGTTTCACCGCATTACTCAACCCCTAACTAACGCTCTTACGAGGCCGCGATTTAGGGAAGGGGCTCAGATATACCGTTCATATTTAAGCATTCTACAAACCCCCTGTGAAAGGAATATTACCCCTAATTGCAGCAAGGATGAGTTTTTGAGTCTTCATTGAGCAACAGGTTGCATTAAGTGAATAGGTAAAGACATATCTCATAAACCCGAAAACAGAATCATCACTCGTTGCGCATTCACGAAACAGGCTTAACTCCTAAATGTTTTATCGCGTTGGCCTCCCTTTTTTGTCTATGAAGATGCGTGGTGTTTTATAGTAACTCAAACTGAAAACCCCCAAGGTCTACCAAATAAACGCCTAGTGAATCATGACAATTATGCAGTCAGGGCAAAGCTGAGGCCCATTATACCCATTCCCGCGATGGCAAAGCCGATTGACATCCCCCGGTTGTGGGTCAGTCCCAACCCTTCGCTGAACAACTGCAGGGCTACGGAGGTCATGACCCCCGCTGTAGCGGCGAACATACCTCCGTACACGGCCCAGGACGAGTCGGCATCGTCCCCGGGGCTACCGGTTCGTCCGGCGCCCCAGATCCAAAGGACCGCGAGACCTGCACCGGCCGGTTGGCTGACACCGCCCAGAAGGCTGGACCAGAAAATCGCTTTGCCGCGCGAGTGCAGGGCAAGATAAAGAGGCAGTGCCATGGCAAAGCCTTCACTGATATTGTGGATGAAAAGGGCAAGAAAAACGGTCAGACCAAGTTTTGGGCTAGCATGGTTGGTAGCATAGGTGATGAAGCCCTCGGGCAATTTGTGAAGAGCGATCGCTATCGATGTCTGCAGACCGATAGACAAGAAAGCATTTTGCGGTACATGGTGGTGATGCTGGCTTCCAGGCACTTGTGTTTTGGACGTGCCATCCACGTCTCCCGCCGGTGAAGTCAGGTATTCAGGTATTTCGTTACGAGGGGTAGAGGAAGATGAGTCCCCGGGTTTGTGATGTGTGTGGTTGGAGCCAGACAAGTCTTCTTCTGGGCCATCCACCCGTTCAATGTCTATATGCACGGGGATAGTGTGAACACCAGTGTCATCTGCGACAGAGACCTCAGGGGCAATTAGAGTCTTAGAGCATTCGGCACCGCATGTCTGCGAAAAGCCATAACAGGGACCATTCTTGTCGCACTGCGTTTTGATGCCCACCATACGACTTAAGCGCCGGCCCAGACGTACGCGCCAAGTTCCGGCAGGAAAACCGGCAGAGTGGGGATTTCCCTCAGATCCCGCGTGTGGCACCGCAGGACTGGATTTGCTCGCCCGCGCCAGCAAAGGAGTCCGCTCGGTCCAACCATGATGATCTTCTGAGCGATGTGCATGATGGTGGCCGTGGCCACGTTCCGGGTCGGCAGAGTTTGCATCCGGCTCATGACTATGAGCACAGCCGACGACGTGGGAGGGAATATAACGATGAAGAAGCGCAGACAGGAAACGAATAACAATGACGCCGGCCAGAAAGAGACCGATCAGGGAGTAGGCGGCAGCAGCGGGAGACCATCCAGCACGGGTGAGGTACTTTTGAGAGGTAGGCAGCATGCTATAGAGAGAAGTAAAGAGCTAGCCAGGTTAGCCATGGCCGAGTAAAAGAAAACAAACCCAAAAAAAAAAAAATATATAAATAAAGAATAAAAAATAAAGAATAAAGGAAGAAGGAGAATTACCATAACACCAGCACTAAGACACAACGAAGCGGAGAGAAAGGCATTATTATTCACGATCTGGAAGCCTTTTCCTCTAGAGAAGTGGCGGAGTAGAACGTCAACACATATGACCGCGGACCCTAAGATGCAAGCTAGAAGAAGGTCAGCGTCAATATGCTCCAATGATCAAATACGAGAAAATAAAAAAAATAAAATAAAATAAAATAAAATAAAGTAAAAGATTAATTTTTTTTACTCACCCACGCCAGAGACGCCGCTCATAACCCAACCCCGAACATCATTACTGACAGCCATGATGGTTTAATCAATGTGGAGAAATCTCGGGGGGGGGGAAAGTGACGATGGGCGGAGCGGAGGATGGAATTAAAAGGGCAAGAAGTTTCGAGGACCTTGCGGGTGGGTGATGTCACGGGGTTAATTCCCTTTCTTTTTCCTTTCGCCTCTTCCGTATTTTTAAGCTTAGCAAAAATATCCTATATTTATTTTCTGATCATATCATATCTGTAGATAATACAGCCAAGCTTTTTTTTTTTTTTTTTTTTTTCATGTTCCGAGAATGCTACCACGGAAGCTCCCGTGTACATCGACTTGGTTGGGTCTAGATCAGTGGATTGACGGTCGATATAATGGGTAACGGAGGAGGAGGAGCTGTTGAGTAGTAGTAGGCCAAGGTGGTGTGTGGATGTGTCTATGAAAGTTTATAATCGACAATCTCTAGTGGCTAGACTGAATGCCGCATCTTTGGAGAAAGGTACTGAACTGCCGTGATTAGTTCTTAGAACTATTTGTTATTGCATGGTTCTCATTGGTGGTCTGCATGTGGAACTAGCGATTGAAATGTAGAAGGACATTGAGCTAAAATAACTAAGCATTTGTCCAACAGAGTAGTCAGCAGATAAAGATCAATTGGACCCGTGAACACATTGAAAGAGTAAGGAGTGTCCTCCTTCGAATCATTTCCCCTATTGTGACAGTCTCAAGATATAATCATGCTGTAAAGAAAACAGTGTTTCCTTCCTTCATACCTCAATCATACATACATAGCTCCAATACAATTTTCGATCATACTCCCTGAGCAATGAACAAAAACTAACATAACGACATGAACCTGGGATCGCCCACACAGACAAGCATCCGACCGACTTGAGCAGGCACTAGAGGTCACAAGCCCGTGTCTCCCCATAATTACCCACCTAGCAAGTTACTCAGAACAGGCTGTTTTCTGGACAAGCAAGGCCTTAGATACATATATGACGAGAAGAGCATATGTGACAGTCTCTGTAAGTAATACAGATCACCGAATTGAAGCAGCGGCGATGGGCGCAAGCATTCGCACCGGCCGTAGTGTCGAGGTCATCCTCAGTCTCCACTTGATCTTCTCCCTTCAGTTGATTCTGTGCAATCATGGCGTCCGCTTCGGCGAAGGAGTTATCCAACTCTGAACATAAGGAATCAGCCGCCACGGCCACCGGGATGCCGTTCATGTCTTTGAGATAGTAACCGCCGTCTTCATCGTGAAGGACCGTTTCTGGGTGGTCGCGCACCGCTTGATTCATTTGCTCGCGTGTCTCGCACACGATAAGCCCTTCAGGGACGGGCTTGCTGTATCTAGTAAAGGACATAGCCGCTGAGCTTGTCCAAGCGAGGAGAAATAGGAAGGTGAATCTTCCTAGCATTGATTTCAAAGCCATGATTCAGATATTCTAGGTGTGCAAGGGGCATGATTTGAATGATGAAAGTTGTGAACTTTTTTTTTTTTTTTTTTTT